GGGACGACTCTAGTGATGTAATTTGACCGGAGTCAGAATTCAGTCATCATTTTCAGACTTGGGACTTGCTTGGTGAAAACCTGTTGGAGATTTCATTTCACTTTGACTTTCACTTCAAGATGTCTTTTCTGTTTCGAACCGAAAATGCTGCATTTTCATGATCACACACTTGGAACGAAGACCTTAGCTCGAGACAGAGCCTTCTCTCCAGACTAAAACTCTCTCATGGGACTAAAACCTTTTGCTGGGACTGTCACCTTCTGTCGGGACTAAAACTTTCTTTTAGGCTTAGAAGCTGATCTTGGGACGAGAACCTTCTCTCCAAACTAAAAACTTCTCTCGGGACTGGAAAATTCTCTCTGTACTAAAACCTTTGCTCGGTCTTTTGGTACGGCAGTAACTCGGGACTGGCTTGAAAGTTGAAGGCTCAGACTTGAGATTGAACTCCTGACTGGCACATCCGGTATGTGACTTAGTCCCGCCACGGGTACGCGGTGACTTCTGACTCGCTCCGACCGAGTCCCGACTTACGTCCATGAGCGCCGCGTTGATATAGTTGGAGCTCTCGCCGTCCACCGAGATGAGAAATGGCAGGCAGCGGTCGGCCGAGAGGACGTCCATGCTCCGGTTCTTGTCGTGGTTCCGGGGCAGCAGGCCCACGCTGCAGTCCTCCGGTCGCACTCTAGGGGTCACTATGTTGAGGGTCTGGCAAAAATTAGAACGCGCCAGGTCAGATAAACCTCAGATGCAAAAGCACGCTCACGCAGCGAGGTTCCTTTTGAGGAAATATGCTCGTATTGTTTCCACGGTCCAGAAATTTCAAGAACGGAAGCCGATGCTAATTTTCATGAGCTCATTTCTGGTGTTTTGCCACAAATGTTAGCATCAAGCTAACATAACGATGCGAGGCAATTGTCTCCTATTCCTTGACGAAAGTTTCAGGGGCGTGTATTTGAAACGGCGTATTCAGATTCAAGGTTGAAAGCACGCGGGTGAGGCCAAAGTATGAACATCTCCGACGCGATCCGCTCGGGATCAACGGGGCTCGATCGTACGGCTGAAAAAAGGGATGTCAGAAGTTGTGACCTGGAACTCGTCTTTAATCTGACTGGAGTTGGTCTGAGGGTCCAGCCTGCTGATGTTGTAGTAGATGGCTCGAAAGTCGCACACGGGGATGGCGGTGTTGCCGCACAGGCACGCCTCCAGGATGGCGTCGTGGACAAACACGTACTGCTCCTGGATAAACACAACACCGCCGTGGGTTCGCGACGCACACCACGGAGACGGTCGTTTACGTTTGTCAATGGAAACCTGACATAGATTCGCTCGGTAACGATTCACGGATGTTTTCAAAAATTCAGGCCCCAAAGATAGTGTGACCTAGCGACGTGAAAATCTTGAGAAGACCCACAAAAAAAAAAATCACAGGCCGCGTTGTTTGAAAAGACATAGGAAGTGTGGAATTTGGTTTCAAGCAGACATTTTAGGCTCAAGCGCCCAACTGGATTAAAAAAAAAATAATTCAGTTTCACGCAATATGAAATTGGGTAGACGTGTCTATGATGAAGAGACCCACAAAAAGGTCTGATGAAGCCATGCCCTAAAAGACCAGTCAGCCAATGTAGTTGGAAGCATATGTTTTAGGCCCCCCCCCCCTTCCGCCCCCAAAAGCAAGTTTTGCTTAACAACGTGGCATTTCCTAGCCCTGTCTATCATGAGGAGACCCACAAAAAATGTCCAAAGGGGAAATGCCCCCTAAAAACCCACAGGAATAAGACAATTGTGACGCTCAGGTCTTAGTTGCACTCAGGGAGATTTAAAAAAAAAAAAAAAAATGCAGCCTCCCCAAAATAGTTTGACTGAGCAACATGAAATTTGCTGGCCAAGTCTATCATGGGAAGACACACCGTAAATGGTCACGAAAGCAAGCCCAAAAACGCTTCCAAGGACCAATCGTGGCTCATTTTCACCATCTCCCGCCGCACTTGAAATAGAAACTCTCGTGAGTGATTTTCGCAAGTCATCGTTGGCTTGCCTTTGCAGCCTTTGCCGATGAATGAAAAGCAAGGAGCGCTGCAATGTTTCCGCACTCGGGATCAAGCGGGCTCTTTGTGCTCCAACCGGCGCGCCGCATGCTAATGTCGCCGCCCCCTCGGCCCACTTTGCACCGGCGCATCTGTTGTCGTCACTTTGCCGCGCTGAATGTTGATTGCGGCCCCGGTGGAGGGCAGACTTTTAAAAATCGTTTCACCCCCAGGCCATTGTCTGCGCTCGTGACAGGCCCCACACACACACACACACACACACACACTCCTCCACCTCTGCCTTTTAAAAGATTAATTGCTCTGTGCAGTTTAGACGAGGATTAGAGAAGCATCCAGCAGCCTCGACACTGACACAAATGACTCCCACTCAGTTAACGCGCGCGCGCGCGCACCATTCACCGGCGATTTGTTCACGGCTGTCACTCAGCAGCATGCAGCCAGCCAGCGCGCTCGCTTGTCTTCTGTTCTGGAGGTGACGTCAAAGGTTTTCAAGTAAGTATCGATTCAAATAAAGTGCCAAAGCGTCGGATTAGCTCAGCTTCTATTTGCACGCGCAGGTGGGGGGTGGGGGGTTAGTAGACAGGATGTCTGGCGTTTGGTTCGAAGAAGACATTGCAGGCTCCTATTGGCCATTTCCAGGTATCCTTGAAAAATGATTTTTTTTGTCTTGACTGCTCCCAAATTTGAATCACGTTAGCCATCATTTCTTCATCCTTGAGCCTTTTTGAGGCCTTTCACCAGCCTCAACATCAAAAGGCGTCAATTGGCTTTTGGTAAAAATGGACTTTTGGAAAATATCGCCCCAGAGGCTGTTTCGTTCAACTTACCAAAAAAGTCTCAACAAGCCACGCTTGAAAATACACAACGAGTCGGCCATTGTGAATCGAAAAGGACGTTTTAGGTGCAAAGATTCACCCGTTAAGCTAGCAAAATGAAACTTGCGAGTCATTTCCATCACGGATAGCCCGACAAAAGACATAGCAGTCTGCCGTTTTCATTTGGAGTAGCCCCGATTTTTTCAGGCCAAAATTGTTTGACTGAGCAACATAAACTTTGGTCGGCATGTTTATTGTGAGCAGAAGAATCCCTGCCCGAGAAGACGCGGGAAGTCCTCACCTCCGTCTGCACCATGTTGACTCTTTGCGACCTGAGCTCGCGGATGCAGTTGAAGACGTCCACCACGCCTTCGTTCTCGGCCATGTCCAGCATGATGTCCACAGCGATGAAGCAGCCTGTCCGGCCCGCGCCGGCGCTGTCGCGGAAAAACGGGCAGACTATCACTCTTTTCTTTTTTTTCTTTTTTTTTTAACCTGTACACCGTGCTACCTGCCCGACCGGCTTCATCTGTTGCGTGAGCGAGTCGAATTTGAGTCAAGGCTTTTTCGAGTTATGAGCCGTCTCTCGGCTTTGCGTTGACAGCAAAAAGTTGACTTTTTCGTGTCTGTATTTTGCCCCAAAAGGCAAACGATCAACTGCGCTGAGAAAAAGTGGATTATGTCCATCGAATTCAAGCACGAGCGAGCCCGGCGAAAAGGACAACTCAATCAAGAAATCGGAACGATGATTAAGGACAGCGCAAATGAACTGCAAAGAAAATGCGACAAATTCTCTTGACATCTTTACATTCTATGTTTTGACATGACTACTCGACTTAGTCGATTCCTTTTTTCCCAGATGACATTGATGTCGAGTGCTTTTTCTCATTAAAAAAAAAAAAAACATGATGGAAAAAGGTTTGGGTGTTTTGCCCCTTTTCCCCCCCCCCCCCCCAACTCAATTTTCCAAACTGAAATGAATTGAGATGCCATTCATCTCTTGCTTGGCCTGCAACGCAATTACACAACTACTCCAATTGGATTTTGGTGTTACGTTCCCTGTTGACTTGCATCATTGTTACACTTTTGTTCCCTTTGTAGAAAACTGCCACAGATTGACACCGGCACAATCGGACATATTGAGGGGCACACACTCACACACACACACACACACACACACACACACACACACACACACACACACACACACACACACACAGAGTGGAGACTTTAATAACACAACGTCAAGTGTTTATGTGACACATCCTGAGCGATGGATGGGGGGCAGGGGGGGCATGTGAGAGATGGATGGATGGATTGATTAATGGATGGATGGAGAAGGGAGGTGTGAGGAGAAGAAAAGAATGAGATGGAGGAGAGAAAGGCGGCAAGGGGAGGAGGGGAGAGTCTCTGCAGATTACCTGTCACCTGAGTGATTAATGTCGACTCGGCAACACTTTACGTGTGCGCGCGTGCGTGTGTGTGTGTGTGTGTGTGTGTGTGTGTCCATTTCCCAACACATCAAGTTTTGATTCTGAACATTGGGTAAGATCCACGAAGCGGTGACTGTGCAATATTTGTGCACGACTTGGATCTGGAGCGCATCTCCACATTTCAATGTTACGACAGGGGGGGGGGGGGGCGT